GCCTGGCCAAGTTTTGCATCACAACAAACTACTAGTACGTAATCAGTGAGTTCATCCCGGATAAATGCCGTTATGTACAGCGACTTTACTAGTTGAGTTTGAATTTGAACAGTACACATGGTGAACGATCCCCATCCCTTTGTAGACTGATCAACAATATGGATTTCTATGAGTGTGCGGCTGCCATGTAGGTGGGGGAACAACGTGTTCCTTCAATAGTGGGCTGTTAAACGCATTACCGCTTTTTGATCCCATTCTGTTTGTTTTCCTTGCTAATGCCATGTGGTTCTCATACTATTGCCTTCAGCTATGGTTGGAAGTGTCCCACTTCTCCAAAGAACACAGATCTTTATAACGTCTTGGCACTCTGTAGTCACACTGAGTCACTACACTACTAGTCTGACACCCTGGTCAGAACGGATCCCCGGTCTAGATATTTACCGACCTCTATTATAACTTATAGTAAAGGGGGGGGGGCCTGTTGTAGAATTCCTTCAGAGGCATGCTGGTCCTAGAATCGAGGAGCCGGCCTGTACAGGCCCTGAAAGCAGTATAGAAGAGTCTAGCATCCCGGCTAAAGTTCTCCAGTAATATTATGTATTATGACCCAAATTTTAAACCCTATACATTTCAAATTTTGCACACGCAGACGTACGTACGGATTACTATACCTAAAGCGACGGTCACAACTCGCCGTACGTGCTTCTGCGTGCTGTCTACGTGCAAAAACGTGGGCAAACGTACGGCATCCGTGCGTGGTGAGTACCGCCTCCGTACGGAATCCTACGGATTTGGGAGCACGCAGACACGCCGTAGAACCTTAAGTGCATGTAATACTTTTTCTACGTGCGGTCTGCGGATTTACCACACGTGCGTGCGAGTACGTGCGACGCGCGTGCCCCGTACAGCCTATGAGCGTGCAACGTACGGACTCCGTGAGTCTAACTTCACTATTCTCACGTGCAATTGCTGTACGGACAGCGCACGAAGCACGTCAGTGCCACGCACGGTGCTTGCGTCACCCGTGCTTACTTCTCACTTCCCAGTTGACCTGCTCAATGACCACGCAGAACACACGTGCACCATACTAGGTGCTCCGCACGTGCAACGCACGCGCAACGCACCTTATTTCTACAGTATATAAAGACGACTTGACGGGCGACTGCCAACTCGTCTCCAAGATGCCCAGGAAGGCTCAGAAGAAGTCTACCAGACAAGATCCAAAGAAACGGGCCGCGGAAGACACCAGGGCGGCTAGTGATGATGAAGTTAACAGGAGGTGCACGCACTTACAACGTGCGAGTGAGTAAGGAAATCGTGCGCACGCCGCACGTGTAGGTACGGCCTGTACGCGGCAACGTGGCAATCGCACAGAGATCGTACGTTGTAAGCACGTACAACTCACTTACCACTTGCGCAACGTACGATGCACGCAACCGCTGACGGTCAGGCGTGTCGTGCAGACCACGTACGTACACCTTGCGAGTGACGTACTCCCTCGGCCGGCCACCCTACGTTTGCAGAAAAAACGTAGCAGACGTAGCCACGACAAAAACGTACGGACAAAAAGCACGCACGGCGAGTTGTGACCGAGGCTTAATTTACTTCAATTGTTGCGTGTTTTGGCCCTGAAGCCGAGGAACTGGCTTGCAGACACCCTGGAAACAGTCTGGAACCCAGAGTATACCAGTCATGGTAGAGACAGCCGCGAAGGAAACCGGCCGTAAACAAAAAGGGTAAACCTAACCGCAGGCTACCTACCTGTAGCCTGGCATAGACGGGGTATGTACATTATCAGCAAATGAATCAGTTCAAGAAACAGTTTAAGAAACTTGATGTACCTCTACATGATTTTCTACCAGTATACTCCAGTATGAAGGATAACACCCGAGTCACCCGACCACCATGAATAAATCATAAATATATCCTACTCACCTTAGCCAAACGTCTTTGCTTCCAAACATCCTCGATGGTTCCCAAACCGTCTCCGTCATTCACCAACGCAACTTTTCCATCCTCCTTCCAAATCCACCACTGTCCTGTATCCGATATCATGACAACTTCCGGGGCACCCGACATGATCCCTTGCGTTTCTCCTCGCTCAAGTTCTCCGCAGAATTTTACACTACAACTATATTCAGGCTGATGTAGGGTCGAAAACGCGTTGACGACGATTAAATCTTCACTAAAACCACGAATAAGTACGACGAAACAAGAAAGCAACAATAGTTGGCAACTTGAACGGACGAGAGCGTTGATAAACAGTGTGCCGTTGAAGCCGTTACCCTCACGCTCTGACTCAGAACTAATTCGGACCAGGCCTGGACCAGGCTGGGGGACGGGCACGGGACGCTCGTATTACCTTCTCAAACCAAACCAGGGGCCAGGCCTGCCAGGGGCCGACAGCATTCCCCCGGTCCCTCGGAGACCAGAGCGCCTGACTGAGTGACCGTGGCTGTTTATTTGTGTACCGAGCTGACTGGTAACGGTCGTGTTAAAAACTCACGCAGTCACTACCATGTTTCTAATCTTTTATCTACTCGGGTGCATGGCAAGTTTTGTTCACTATCGTAGACCGACGGGGCCCAAGTTCGACATCATGGAAAACCACGCGTCTGGGGTGAAACTGTATGAAGAGTCAAACCTCAAATTATGTAGCCGGGATACCGAAGAGACTCTACAAGAATGGGAAGGAGGTACGTTATATCTCGTTTTCACATAGTGTACGATTTGTACACTTCCGCCGTTAGAACCTTTTTTGTAATACCAGACCGTGGTAGCGCATGGATGAGATTTCAGTGTGTCCTGCAAGGGGGTGGGGGTGTGAACTGCATGTAGTAGGCATTCGATTCTTCTGTGTGAATAACCGATTTTTATATTTTGGCCTGGTAATAGGTACACCGTGAGAGTTTGCAGGTTGCTGCCGGTGGTAGTATCCAAGCACACACACACGTATGGATGGACCCCTCCCGCTGCCTGAAGGAAGAAGTCGGGTAAGTAGAATGCATTTGTGATCACCTCACTCTCAGCCTCTAACAGGGTTTATCAATCTCCTAGTAGGGTCGTGAATTGTATTAGATCAATACGTCATATTGTATATTAGATCAATATATACTGCCACTCAGATCTTTGGGTGTCAGCATACTGCAGGCAAACTGGATACTGCTTGGAAAGTTGGAAACTGTATTTCAGCCACCCAAATATCTGCTTGGAGATGAGTATTCGATTACATGTGAGATAGCAGCCTTGGGAGCGTCGCGGTGCCTTCCTCTTGTTGTTGAGAGGCGACTACTAGTAGACAGACGTCGCTAATTTTGCTTTGGGATTGAAAAAACGGCTCCCTC